GGGTCGGGGCGTACACCCTGCCCCCCCCGCGGGCCCGCCTGCCGGCGCCTCCCATTGGCCTGGAGTGGCGAACCGCAGCCAGTGGGAGCCGCGATCGGCCGGACCTGCGGACGAGGGCTTGGGTGAAGGGGGTGAAATGGGGGCAGGGACTTTGGAGAAGGGATGGAATGGGGGCGGGGCAAGGGTGGGGCAGGGGTGGGGTCGAGCACCCCTGGGAACAGTGGAAGTCCACACCTATGGTTATGTCAGTGTAGTAGGGAACTTACATAGCTAGGAGGAAGGCTGTAGTGTAGACGCTGACCTAATTAGGTTGACATTAGCTGCCTATGTTGACCTGTGTAGTGTAGACCAGCCCTTAGCATTTGCCATTTCACACCTATACTTCACCATAAAAGACTCTACAGAGGGTCAAATTCTGATCACTTTACTAACATGAATAGCTCCATCAATTCCATTAAATTACTTCCTATTGACTTGTCAAATGACTACAAGCAGAATTTGGCTCAGAGTCAGTAAACACCAGCTGGTACAACTCTGCCCAGATGTGTACTCTAAAGAGCTCCCGAGACTGATTCTCAATGCCAACAGCTGGAAGAGAGCAGCCAATATACTTAGTGCCTTTTGCTGCCTGGCTATTAACTGCTACTGCACATTTGCTCAGTTAATAGAATACTAGCAAAAGTATTGGTGGTTGTGAGGATGTTTAATATTCATCTTTCATATTTGGCAGATGTTGGTTGAAAACAATTAGGCAAAAAGCCAGAAGACTAAAAACTTCTCCAATAAATTATAATACAATTAAATGAGAATCTACATTAGATATCTTTTCTGATTAATTATCAATTAGCTAATAATGAAGCTTCAAAGCTTCTCCTAACAGATGGTCAGAAAGTTTAAAATATACTTGATCATGGTTAATCGCAAAGTTAATATTCATGGTACTTGCAGCAATCAATCTATCCTCTTGCTGTAGAATACTGTACAAGTCTCCAGGATCAAATGGACATTAGTGATTTTCTAGTCTCTTCCTGTATTTGGGGTGATCTTGGGGTTCAATGATTTTGTGTGAAAGACTGTTAAACTGCAGTACACCTACAAGTTTAGATTTGCCACTTAGTGTAATTCCAGTCATGTCACTTTAAAAACACTCTAGCACAACTTCAGGCCTCATTATCATTATGTTTCACATCCAATTATTGTAGGAGTACAAAATTACTCCCTGTAGGTTGTCATTATAGGTGATTATAGCTGCTGCTTGTTTTATGTTATCTTGTTTTATAATTAACCCCTTATGAAACTTCCACTAAAAAGTAAGAATACACATCTGTATTTCAGGGCCGCCTAGAGGCTTCAGGGGGCCTGGGGTCCCCCGCTGCCAAACTGCCGCCGAAGACCCGGAGCAGAAGAAGCTCCGGGGCCCCGGGCTCCACGAGAGTTTTCCGGGGCTCCCGGAGTGAGTGAAAGACCTTGCTCCAGGGGCCCCGAAAAACTCTCGTGGGGGCCCCTGTGGAGCCCGGGGCCTTGGGCAAATTGCCCCACTTGCGCCCCCCCCTCCCCCGGTGGCCCTGCTGTATTTGCCAGATTATATGCACACTATCATGTATATACATACCAAAAATGAATTTCTGTAATGCTTTGTATTTTAGTTTCCACTTTGCAGAGCCAAATTCTATTCACCTCACTGAAGTGAGTAGTTCTATTGACTTCAGTAGGTCTACCTAAATGAGTAAAATGAGAAGGATCCAACAAAAATGTTTACTGGACTAAATAGGCTAGTCCTGACTTTAGTCTAGATCATTTGGGCCAAATGCTGCCCCCTGTGGTACCCTTGTCACCTCACTGAAGCTATGCAGTAATATGGTTTTAACTGGAAGCAGAACATATTCCTTTATCTTTTGTATATTGGAGTTTATACTTGACATGGTTTATATTGTGTATAACTAAAACAATTTGAGTTTGTCTGATCCTATGCTATAAAAGCAATAGGAGTTTTGCATGTGTATAGAGTTCAGCATTAAGCCTCCTTGGTGAGAACAGTTCAGCCCTGCATTGTAACAGAAAAAAAAATGTGAGTAATTTTGGGGGAGAACTGCAAAGATTCCTCCCTTTCCTCCCTCCACCCCCATCCAACCTCAGTAGCATTTCTGAGGAGCAGGGGAGGAATGTGGTTTTGATTTTCTATTCTACTTTTAGGCCCATGGATGGGAATGACTAAATATTTTCCAATTTTAGACTTTAATGGTAAACAGTGTCATCCAAACATATTAAATCGATTAGTGAAGTGAATAGACTTCATTGTTGCTGGAAGCTGTGCCATATGTTCCAGTGGCAGTTTCTTATGTAGAGCTGAAATAATCAAAGCTTTTTGCAGAGAAGTTGAAAAGGATCATAAAGCTCGACAGCTAACGTAGGATTAAAAGTGGTTGATAATTTGTGGTGAAGCTAAAACATTTAGGTTTTGACTAAAACTTAATCAAAACAGAGTGATGTTCTGTAGCCTGGTGATTAGGGCACTGGCCTGGCCTGTGGGAGTACTATGTTCAAGCCCTTGCTCTGCCTGAGCCAGAGTGATGTGGTTTGAAAAACTCCACCGAGCAGGGTTTTGCACCTCCTAGATCAGTGCCCTAAAGATACAGGTTTACTCTCTTGTGCATATTAACATATCTTCCTGAATTTAAAACCTCTGTTTTTTTTACCTGAAAATGGAGAGCAGAATTCCATTTTCACTGAAACACAGTGGTTTTTGTTTTCATTCTGCATTAGAATGAAAAGAAATTCTGAAATCTCAAAAGTTGTGTGAAACAAGATTTGACATGTTCCGGTCAGCTCCCTTTTGAATTTCAGTTCAAGTGAGTTGCCATTTCAACACTGATCTGAACTGTAAAATGATACAAAGCTTTAACCAAATTAATATGGACCTGACTGTAACTGGCCAATCGGTGGTTGTGTGGGGTCTATAAGGAACCCCCACCTTATGCTACTGTCTCCATCATGGCTTTGCAAGGTCCACATCATGGCCTTGCATATTTAAGAACTCAGTCGTGTCCATAATGTATATGGAAACTACTTTCTACAACTAATTCTGCTCATAATACACTCTTAGATCCCACTTTTTTTCAGTAACAATGATTCAAAATGTATTGGGAAAAATTTCAAGAAATAAGATGAGTACATGTTTGAATTGAACCTCCCAAATGACTCATTCCATTCACCTCAGTAAGGACTAGCTATTGTGCCTTCTAGGCAAAGCCCTTTGTGTGATAGGGAAGGGAACAAAGATTGCTCCTCAATCTACTTAGGGGCACCACAGGCAGTCTTCCTTAAAGAATGCCTCCTGGAGATCGAAGGGTGCACAGATGGAAAATGCATACACTTATCTCCCAGGGACCCATGGCTCCACCCTACTCTCAGCCCTTTGTGGCAATAATTAGGGAGCAGTGCCTGAACTGCATCGACAGCAGGGACCAAAATTCTTCCTTGTCATTATGCAGTCCACACAAGAATCGGAACGCTTTCCTTTCTCTCCAGTCCCATCTCTGGAACTACCAGAATCTAGCCATAAGTATGGCAGGACTAGCATTCTTTAATATACACAAAGTGAAGGCTGGCCTGACTGATGGTCATGGAAACATTATCATGCCTATAATGTGACGTAAAGCCTTACAAAAAGTGAAGCTCTACCCCTGGCATTCCATTACATCAGTCACACTTTACATACAGTAAATGGGATGTCTTAGTCCTTTATCATCTTTTGAATCAAAATTTGGCTTTTAGAAAATCTTAAAGCATTAGCTGGAAAATAATTTGTTTTCCAACTTCTGATGGAATATCCTAATAGTCTTTTACCATTTAAAATGACATTGTAGCCCTATCACATTGCACGATCTATTTTTCACAAATAAAACATTGCTATAAAGGTCAAATGTAGTTAGTGAATTAGATCTAACTATATAATTGAAAATGCAATGAGTAAGAATTTAATACATAAAGACCAGTGGACTAATACTTCATTTCTAAAACAGAGTGGCTACATGTGGGTTCTAGAATTCATTTTAATTTTGATGCTCTTACTTTCTTTTCTCTTTTATGAACAGTGACTTTTACTAATCTATTGGCAGACCTCGACAACAACAACAACAGCACACATACACACCAGCCCACAAAACAAAGAATACATTAAAATACCTGCACAAAGTTGTCTTCACCAGGCTAGATTGGAACTCCTAGAAAGGGCAGGGCACTTTCAGATTTTACAGCTTTTCTTCTTGATGCCCTTAAATATGGGAGACAAAGAAAATGAAGTAGTTGGTGTGTGAAACTCTTTGCATCTCAAGTTATCTTTAAAAACTATAGACTAAAGGCTTTTCAGAAGATGGTTTGTGTGTGGGTTGTCTTTTGTTTTTGTTTTAATAAGACAGAATTAAGGGCTTCTAAACCTGCATAAGCTACATTTGGAAATTTTCTTAAAGGCTGTGATAAGGAAAGTATTCCTGTTCAAGAAGAGCATTTAAGCATTAACTTGAAAACAATGGGACTTAAGCATGTGCTTAAAGATAAGCACACACTTACGTACTTGCCTAAATCACATCCAACACTAGCACTGATATGGTTTCAATAAGGATTTGAAGTTTATGCCTCATTGAGCTGAGTGAAGTTGGTTGCAGGTGCATTCCAACTGTCCTATCTACCTTGAAAAAGTTTTCTACAAGGCTGGGTTACCAGTACATCAGCACAACTGTATATTAAATACTGAGATGTCTAATGTTGATGGAAAAACTGACTTCAGTAGAGTTGCACTGATGTAATGAATGGACCCCTTCCTTTTTCTTCTTTTTTTTTTAAAGAGAGCTTTGAATTCTAACATGTAATTTCATAACACAGCACAAATTGTAAGTAGGCAGGATATCATGATCACGTGTCCAAAGTATTTTCTTGCCTGTGATTAGTCCTTAATCTTAAATTAGTTTGCTGTGGGTTTGTCAGGCATTTACAGTCATGCTCACCTTCCAAACTTTCCCATTAACAAGCACCAAGTCGGGGTAATCAATTATATTTTGTCAAGGTCCAAATTTCTTGGTCAAGATCAGGGGTTCTCAAACTGGAGGTTGGGACCCCTCAGAGGGTCACAAGATTATTACATGGGGGTCGCAAGCTATCAGCCTGCATCCCAAACCCCACTTTACCTCCAGCATTTATAATGGTGTTAAATATATAAAGAAGTTTTTTTTTTTTAATTTAAAAGGGGGGGTCGCACACAGAGGCTTGCTATGTGAAAAGGGTCACCAGTACAAAAGTTAGAGAACCACTGGTCAAGATGTAGTCAAAGTCCAGACTCTAGATAAAATAACACAAAATTAATAACAATGATAGTAAGTAAATACAAAGATGTTGTGGTCTGGTCGAAAGTGACTAGAGGTCAGGATTTTGTGCACAGTCCACCTATTGGCTACCTCTGCACTATGCATTAGACTGTTTCTTACTATTGGTAAGTATACGACACACACACACACTTAAAATCCCAATAGACAAAACAGATGGAGGAAGCAATTATACCCATTGTACATAAGTGCCTAACAGTTGTGTTATCCAACAACTCTTCTCATCCCCCAAGCTTTAGCCATAAATACATTTCCCAGTGAGGATTACTACATGTCAAGTTTGAAAATCCAGCCATTCTTGAGTCATCTATAATCGGGGATGGGGAAAGAAGAGTACCCTTACAGTAATTACAAAAAGTGATGCAGAGGCCCACTGTCTTAGTACTGTTACTTCTGGCTTTGAGTATTTGTTTTTAATATTGTTTTTCAAGTCAAATTTTTGTTTCAATGTTAATGTTTTGCACATATTTTCTGAAAATCATACATTCTCTATCAAACCCAAGTCAGGACCAAAAATGAGGATCTTGTTGTCACTGAAAACGGCAAATATATTTAATCTTTCCATGTTTAGGTTGTTCCAGCTCTTAAAAATAATTTTTGGATAGGTTGAGATTTTGGCATATTTACTTCCCATTATGCTGAGTTATCTCACATTCTGGCGGTTTATTTTGTTAGGTAAATGATATGTGAAGGCGGCAACATGATGTATTAAACTATAAATGCATCTAACTGTTATGAAATCATAAATATTTGTGGCTTCTCGATGTTCTCCACCTGTGGTGCTAGATCATCAACTGGCGTAGTCTCACTGAAGTAGATGGAGCAACGCTAATGTACACCAGATGAGGATCTGACCCATAATATTCACACTTCTATTGACTTCCAACTTTTCATCAAGGTGCATTTGTCCTTTCATTAAATAAGTTTAACCTATAAGTAAGTTACTTTTCTTCTCCTGAATTATGTCTTGCATAAAAAAATTCTGTGCTGAAGTAACAGAACAAAACCAATTATT